ACCTGAAAAGTAAGAAAAAAAGGAAACAAATTATTAGTTCAAACAATTATCCTAAAACTTAAAGGAAAGGCAAAGGAAAGGAAAGGTTTAAGGAAAGGCAGTCAGTTGCCATCTGGAGAGAGGAAATATTTAAGCCTACATCCCAAAAGGAGGGTGGGTACACTGATACCTCAGGGAAGAAACCACAAACCCTAAACTAGAATGTTATGCCACTCTTGGGACTTGTACATGTACCCAACTGAGTCCCATAAGCCCAGATTCATTTCCTTTTGGCACCAATAATACTGAAATTGACTTATTCAGTAGAAATATTGTGAAACAAAGACAATGATATGAGTTGGAAACTTCTGAAAGGAGAGAAGGGGACAGAGACACTGGAAAACCTAAAGACAACACAAAAGAATGCACAAATGCCAAATAAAGGAAAATGTGTTTTGCACATGCAGATCATGAGTCAGTAGGAATGACCTATTCCATTAAGTACCTGTCATTAAGTACCTGTTCAAAACACTTGATTTTTTTTTTCAGTTCTGTTGCCTTATCCCTTTCACAATGGCTTAAAAAAAATCACTCAAAAACTTAAAAAATTGAACATTGCTTTCTACACTGCTTTTCAAAATAAGTTGTTTTAACATTATATTAGGCCAGCATTCCAAGTTTTTTTTTTTACTAAGTTTTCCATAATGGCACCACTTTCCTTGACTAAGATACTACTTATGCCAGAAGAAGTTAATCCTTTGACTCCCCTGGTCTGATTGTTAATTCTCCCCTCTACTCACCACTCACTTCCTTGTAAACTAGTTGTTGGAATTTGGTGTTCTATCAAGATGACAACTTTTACCTGATAAGTTTGAGTAAATCTCATTACCTGTTTGCTAGATAATGTATGGATGTCAGAGGGAGAAACTACATGATAATCAGTTCTGGGAGTTGAAGGGTTAAGGGTCCACCTTACCTTTTCCTCTGCTCTAGTTCCCAGTCAAGTCTTGCCAACATCAATTTATGAGAATCTCCTTTGGTAACATCCTTAAAAAATATTTTGTTAACTTTAACAGGAATCCCAGAGTCACTGGCCTAAATAATTATAATACATACCAGCAATAAAAGCAATTATTTATTGAGTATAATTATACTAAAACCTGGTTTCTACTAATAAGCAGTTTTCAATTGAGAGCCAAAAGTGTTAATAATTTGGCTTCACAACAGTCTTTGATTGATCTAGTAAACTTTTGCCACCCTCTCCACCTAGGCAAAACTTAAACCAATCCCAACTTGGCTACTTACAGGTCTGGATATTTCATTTGGAGCATCCCTAAAAAATTCAGCTTCCGACACCAGCTCTATTTCTTCGTCTTTTGACCTAATACCATTCAAACAAAGAGAAATTTATTCAGTTTAGAAGTGGTAAAAGTCTGGGGTAAAATCAGAACCACTCATACAGTCAGATAGTTTCAAATTCATCAAGGCCAGTAAGATTAGAGCAAATCTTACTGGATTTGACTTTACAGGAATAAACCAACGGTTACAATTTGATCAGATTTCTGTTAAACATTCCTGCACTACTACATGAGCATAGAGGTAAATTAAAGTTTTTTTTTTCACACTGCATAACAACATAGCATGGATATTCAACCCTAAGAGCTCACAAAAATCGCCCCATTTTATGGGTTGATGAACAGGTGCTGGCCCCAAATGTTACTGTCAAGCCTTCCCAGTCATGTAACCATTATGGCCAGAGCCCATCCTAGTGGGTTTTGATAACATGACGCAACTAAGAGTATTCCTTCTCCTCCTGGATAGAATGCCACACCTTCATGGATGACTTCCAAGCATTTATAAAGTTTCCATTGAAGTTTGCCAGTACTCATCTACACTTCAGACTTAAAAAGTGGTATTGTGAAAGTGAACTGTCGTCCCAAAACACAACACAATTTCCCTGGCAAGGGCTAGTGTCTTGGCTCTCTTGATTTAGGGGTCCAGTATGGCAACCACTTCACCATCCCTATCACAAATGAGGCCAAAATGATCCCAAAAAGGAGAGTGTGGTGGAAAAAAAAATTTTAAAACATTTTCAAAAAAAATTTACTTACTTGAACTCAAGACATTTTGTAATTTCTTTTTTCAAGTGCATCACTTCATAGAGAAGGTTCTGTAACTGCAGGTGAAGACTATCCACTTTTTGTTTAGACTGAAGGTGGGAATAGGAAAAAATTAAAGCTCATTTACAGCACAGGTGAACAAATATACTTTTGGTTGATAAGTTATTCATAGATTTATTAGTTTCTTTACCGGCTTGTAAATTTTTGTCAAATAACTGGATGCACTGAAAGCAAGGTGAACTTCATAAACTTCTACAATCCAACAACATTAACTTTACAGAAGCTAAGTTTTTGTTCTAACATCAATAAAACTTTCATAATCAAGTTGGGCCTGCTATATTTTCATGATCTGCACTAGCAATGGGCTAAAAGAAATCAACACACAAATTGATAGAAGTTAAGCTTTTTTCACTGTTTTCTTAAACCGATTAGAAAAGAAAAGTTTTGCCACTAGCACAGTTGTCACTCGCTACACACTTTACTTTGGGTTGGAAATTTAGAGGGTAACAGGATCTTCAAGAAACTAACTAGCTTTCTGGCCACCTAACTGGCTTTTTTTGCTATGGCATGAGATACATGTAGGAGTTTGAAATATTTCAGTTTCAACAGTTAAATTCTGAAATACTGTAGCTAACTAGTGGTGTTCACTAACCTCTTGAGTTCTCTCTCTAGCTTTCTTGCATCGCATATGTGCAAGTCTGTTGAGTTTTTTTAAGATTGTAAACAGGAGAGTGCACCTTATCCTGGACTCACTTACATCTGAATCCTGATGAAGACAAAAATATTCCCACATTACCATTCTCAACATCAGTGTCACTAAAGCCACCAGAGAGCTCTATCAACTGGTCCGAGGGATAAAGGCCATAACTTAACTCCCTGGGCATGATCAAGCTTGTCAGAAAACCATGATTGAACTTACTATGTAAGTGCACAGCTTTAAAACCAATCAAAGGACAATGTCATTAATGATAAATAATAATGGCAACCATTCAGAACAGGAGCAGGTATGCCACTTCCAATTCATTCAAGTTTCTGACTTTTGAGTCGACTGTTTTAACCGTTTACACCCTAACATCAGTAAGCAAATTCTCCAAACGTTCTTGATACGTTTCCTAAGGTGTTGACAAGGAGAATTTGTGTAACAATCAAGAGCTTCTTTTCTTGGCAATCATTTCCTTTATTCTTGTGACCTTGATGTTTGATTCAGGGGTGGTTTTAAAAGGAGGAATTAGATGCTAGTGACACAGACTACTGCATTACATTGCATAACATGGAATTTGATCAGAAGTTATTAGATCCTGAACCTTTAAGTGTAGAATTACACAATCAATCTCATAGTTTACTTGGAGATATCTACAGAAACAGGGAAGAAAGAAAAAAAACTTGTGATTGTATCATCTACTATTGAAGTCTGTTTTTTGTCACAAGACTGTTCCTAACAAATGACAGTCCTTTAAAAAGCCAATCCTTGATTTATAATCCTTGATTCTTGAAAACTTAGAGGATCTAGGCTCAATCAGAGTTTCTAATGTTCAAGAACATTTGTAAATTATCCTTTTGTCTTCATCATCTCAATTTTATGAACAACATAGACCACTTTCATAATGGCTGCCGGATTAATATTCTTTTGTTTAAATTTAAATTAGCCCTTCTGGCCTCACTTGAGATAATGTACTCTTTTGAATATTATACTGTAGAATGAGGCCAGAAGGGCTAATTTCAATTTAAACAAAAGAATATTAATCTGACAGCCATTTATGAAAGTGGTCTATACTACACAAGTTGATCTGTCGATTGCAGAGTGCGATCCTCAGTAGAGGGTAGTCCTGAAAAGAAATGCTATCGATAACAATGATTGATTTCCGAAAACCTGAAAGGAAGTCGTTTGACTTGAATCTGATAAATTATGATAGCCTCTTTCAGACAAAACGTCAGTCATTCTAACCAATAAGACCTCTTCTAAGGAACTTGCAGATTACACTGTCATCAAAATAATTTGAATATATCAACAAAGTTGAAATGGTAAATTGGCCACCGTTACGATTATAAAAGCTGACATTTCGAGCGTTAGCCCTTCATCGTCAACTGCTGCTCCTGTGACCAGACAGTCAATACTCCATTTCACAGTTGTGTGCTTGGTTGCCAAGCCTTTGAACAGGAGTGAGGCTAAGGGTGACCTTGTTTATGATACAGATGTTGCTGCTCTTCAGATGTAAATTACTTGTTACTAGATACTTGTCTCTATCACAACAAAGTCACCTTCAGCCTCGCTCCAAATCAAAGGCTTGGCAACCAAGTAGGCAACTGTGAAATGGCCTATTGTACAAAACGATTAGTTTTTATATGTCCTTTTCTACATCTCACCTCGAGTTTTTGCTTCTGAATTTCTGCTACAAGCTTTCTGATTTCCTCAGTTCCTTTCTCAAACGAAGCAACATCAGCGGCAGCACTTCTTTTTTCCACCTCTGCATCCTCTAAATTTGTAACATTTTGACTATCTGAAGATTTAGAAGTACTATCTTTAGTTGTAGTAGAAGCAGAAGTGGCGGTAGTTTTCGAGCTGGTTGGGGATGTCACCACTCTCTTCTCCTGCGAAGGACTACCTACATCTGAAGGCGTGCGCGTTCTTCTACGTTTCATTTTCGACCACAAGGTCTATTAGAATTCAAAGAAAGACGAGTGGAATTTGGAGAAATACTTAGCAATGTCAGATTCACATGTAACTCCGCCTAGCAGTTCATCGACGCCATCTTTACTCTCAAATAACACATACTCTTTCTTGCAAGACCGCTAACATACCCTGTTCATGTCCTTGCTGTCTCGTATTTCTTACTACTACCATATTTGGTCATTTTGGAGGGTGTCGTTGCATATTATGGTTTATCGCTGGTTAAAAATGACATCATTTATTTTCATTCCCTGTTCTGTTGACGTCCACACCTTCCAAGGGAAAATTTGGAAGAGGTTTGGAGGATAATGTAGTATTTTACGATTTATTGATGCATGAATCAACCTCGAACAGCCGTTGTCGTTGTGAACGATACTCAGGATAATTGTAAGCAACTTTTGTTCGGTTATCTGCTCGATCTTCTGTCCAAAGTTAGGACGTGAAGTTAGCCATATTCCAGCATCCTCAGCTCTTAGAATAACGCTTCTTCATCACTTTCTCGAAGCAATTTCCTGGAAGAAAAGTGCAGGAGATGGCTACGGTAAGAATAGTAAACGCAGAGGGTACGTTCGTTATTTGCATTCAATATCTGGACTGATCCAATTTTCGATTTGTAGCAAGTCGAACAGCCTTCCAGTATGGTCTACGTGCAAGCAAGTGAGCTTTTCCCGAAGAAGACGCTCGCTTCAGGTTGGTGCCAAGTTTCGTGCTGTGTCATCTCAAACCCAAGATCCAGAAAATAGTCACTTGTAGATCTACTTCGATGGTTTTACAGATTTATGATTCACTCGCGTTTAGAAATGCTAATCAAGCCGTAGGTGGAAATAGTTTTCACCATTTCCGTCTAGACTACAAATTTATTGGTAGCTTATCTCGGGCCTTCTATTTGCGTTAACCTTTAAACTAGTTCAGGCCGGATTAAACTCGTTCCATTTATCCATTACTTTACTTTGCATTCAAATAATCGTCTTTATAATCAAACTGCGCATCTCTACTCAGACGTTGTAGACGGTAATTAGTTTCCGTGTATCAGGCTCAGTCATCGAGCGTTTGAAGACTGTCAGATTAATTGTCGTGGTGTACATTAACAATGCATTAAATTTTCTCTGACTTTGTTGGCGTCAGAGGATTACATTTTGCAATTTGAAATGTTTAGGAAGAAATTGAAGTCGTATTAAAGTACTAGAACATCATGCCCTATAAATGATACAACTTCAATATTTGATATGGGGTGATGATTTAATGGCGCTTATAACCGTTGTCAAAAGGTCGTGTTTTAATTCCCCCAGGTCAGAGAGATTATCATCTATGATAAAATTGTGTCAAATGGTTTCATTTTCATTTTTCAGTTTTGCCTGTTTGGGCATGTACAAATTGAGAACTGAACTTCTAAACACATAAAGCAAACTGACTTGGAATATTTGTTTCCAAATTTGAACATTCTTGATTGTATTAATAGTCTGTTTGTATTTTCATCTGTTTTAATTAATTATTTAAAACAAAGGATTTCAAGATGGCAATGCATATATCTTTAATTTCACATGTCATGAACTTGCCATATTGGTAACTTTTTGCTTAATTTCTTATATTAGTAATTAGTTTGAGGGAGGAATGAAATACCACAAGTTGTAGCGTATAAAGTAGATTTGCAATCATTGACTCAGACCAATCAAATTTTTTGGCAAGAGTACCATATAACCCCATGTGTTAATTATGCATTCAGACTAGTAGACTTTGTTTTTAAAGTTTTGTTGTGAAAGACAAAGAAGTGGAATGCATAATTAATGTATGGGGTTATATGGTACTCTTTTCAAATTTTTCTTCACAAATGTGAAATACAAAATGTTGAGCTCCCTTTGTGCTTGAAAAGCCACAAGATGTTCATGAAAAATACTCTCTAATACATTGTATTATCGCTGTCTTTCACTTTTGTTCCATTTTGTTTGCCTGTTTTTCCTTTCTTGTGTTGCAAAAGCCTCGGAAGATTTTGTTAATAACCCATCCTCCTTTAAAAAGTTTTAAGTAAGTCTATTTTTCTTTCATCTTTATGTTTGTTCTCTACAATAGAAGATGCTGATCAGGTACCTTTTCCTGAACTATGTGGAGAAAGTGTGGAATGCTTGGAGAAGACATCTGATGCCACATTTGCTCTCTCCAACTTTCGTCTCTTTATTTGTTTCAAAGATTCATTTGTGAATGTAAGTTCTCAATTTTCTTACTGAATTCCATTTTTTACAGGCACCTTTATACTGTACTCTTTACCCAAATCTAAATATCAGTTCTGCGGACTATCTGCCTTACAATTCCTATACTCTTAGCTCTGAGATGAATTATAGATGAATAATTGTTTAGTTTAACAACTTCTACTAGGAAAACAAAGAGGGACAAAGGCGAAATAACAGAATCAGGCGATGAGTTCATTTTGTTTTCAAAGAAAGTTATTTCTCTTAACTATAGTTTCATCACTGAAATTCGAGCAGTCATGCACAAGATTTTTGTCCTCTTCCCATTTCAGTGGTATGACATCAAATTGACCATAAATTTTATTGCTCTGATAAAGAAAAAAATTGGTTCCTTTGATATGAGCTTCCCTTTCTGTTGTTGGTATTCTCTAATTTTTTTTTTTTTTTTTTTTTTTTTCAGATTCCCTTGCGGTTGATAGAGTCTCTTGAAATGAAGGATCTTGTCTTGATAGATGTCAATTGCAAGGATGCCAGGTCATATAGGTGAGACTCTGCCTTAAATTCCCTGTACATTTGCAATACTGATTAATTTATTAAGGGCATCCATGATATCAGATGCTTCCTGCATGTCACCTTGTCATAGGATGTTTTAAGTTATGAAGGTGAAACAAATGCAGCTAAGTTTTTATCCAGTGAATTATTCATTCAACTTGATTTTTAACTGAAATCTTTGATCTTTTTCGAAGTGTGGTTATTAAATTACAATTCTTGAAAGGTAAATGTTTGGGCCAAGCTGACCAGGATATGGAAACCTCCCAGACTTCAAATCTTGATCCCTACAGAATCATACCATTAAGTTTTGGTTCTTCTTAACAGAAACCTGTTTCTTGGGTTTGGCCAACCCTTTAAGTGTTTGCCGCTGTATACCAATGTTCTAATGGACCAAAATGTATTTGGTTGAAACCAACTTTTTTTTCAGTTACCCCTTACTTTTGGCTTGGGGCCTAATCTGTGTGTTGAATGTTTTCCCAATGGTACAGGTTTACCAATTTTTCTCCTTTGCCTCTTTTACAGGATTTTATTTGACAATAGTGATCAGTGCATTAACTGGGATAACCGTCTTAGCAAGTACATCTGTCCTGTGTCGCGCCTTGAAGATCTGTTTGCCTTTGCCTTTTATGCATGGTGCATGGACTACTCAGGCTCCACGGAGAAGGATGAATTTACCAGTTTCTGTGTAGCAGGTAGGTGTTAAGCAGAATTTTGTCCTTCTGAATGGTTGTTCTTTTGGAGACAAGTGTACACGCACCTGTAGTATTACTATCTGTAGTCATTAACCCTAAAACTCCCAAGGCTCAATTAGTATTTGCCTTCTGACTGCTATACATTTCCCCTTTACTAAGTCAGGAGACTTTGGTCCTAAGTCAAAGAACATTCTTAAAGCAGATTAGTATGTTTGTTTGTAACACCCATTTGCAAGATAACATCTTACAACTGCAAGGAGAAGCTAAGTGTAGATCACTTTTGGGAGATAAAGGGTTATAAGTAAGCAGAATGCCTAAGCAACTTTTGACCAAGAATAAGTTGTAATGAAAATCAAAATTGATTTTGGCTATAGCTGAAAAAAAAGCACTTTAAAGCTATTACCAAAACCATGATGTACTCACAAAATGTAATATTTCCATTACCGAACATTTATACTATACATTTAAAACAAAAAGCTGCTATTGAAGGACTGGAACTCAGCTTTTAGTTTGAGACCTTCCATGATGTTTGTCCTATGGGGTATGAGGAAACACTGAAATAACTTGTCATGCATAAAATTCAATATGACTGAAGCTGTGCATTATCAAATATTTTACAATTGTGCTGTAGTTGTGTAACTTCTGGAAGAAATTAATAGATGTCATTTTTCTATTCTTGTCCAGATGAAACGCAGTATTCATTTATGTGTGAGGTCAAAAGAATGGGCTTTGATATTGATGCATGGAGGATCACAGACATCAACTCTAAGTTTGAGTGAGTGAATGTATTTTCATTACAATATCTGTTTAAAGAGCAGGACATTTTCTGCATTCTTGCACTGTAATAAAATATAGATTGTTTGTTTGTTTCATTGTTGGTGATGCTATATTGTTTTGTAAGAGTACATGCATGCAGGACCTTGGAGTGTATAGTTACAATATCGTAGGTGTTTCGTGAAGTTTGCTCAAGCAGTTTTGCTTGGCTGGGGGCTCTTATGGACAGTCCCTTAAGCAAGATGTGCATTAGGTATCAATGTTGTAGCAAAAATGCAAAATTCTGTTTTTTTATTTTTTATTATTCCATCATTCAAGTAGGGAATGCTGTCAACACCCACTTTCTTCAATACTTGGCAAAACCGGGAGTTTTGATGTAAACAAATGCAAAAAGCTATGTCAGTAGTCATTTTGTTCCATTGTTTTTTGTTTTTTTTTAGGTTGTGTCCCACTTATCCAAAACTTCATGTTGTGCCAGCCATAATTACTGACAAAGAAATGGAAGCTGTAGCAAAGTTTAGAACATCACGAAGGTTTCCATCTGTAGTGTGGAGGTAAGAAAAGAGGCTGTAACATGGTTTCTTCATCATGGAAGAAAAAGTAAATTTTTCGTCAGCTTTTCCATACTCAGTCACTCTTTTTCTTTCTTTTTTTTTTCTTTTTTTTTTCCTCTTTTTGTTTTATCATGTCGAGGGCAGTTTAGCAATGCTCAAATTATTGTGGCGTGGCTCTGTATAGAGAACAAGAAGGACAAATGAGTTGATTTTTTTCACTGGCGATATTTTTTACATAAACTGTTTTTGGCATGAAGACATCTTTCCTTTACTTCACCAATTTTCTATCCAATCAATCACATACACCCAAACTTTATATGGCTTTGTAAGAGTTCAAGGTGAAATTAATCTTTAGATGTAAATTTTCAAACACCAACCTAAAAGATAACATGGCGTTAACTATTCTATAAGTGTGTTTTCACAGACAGGCAATTTATGTGCAGTTTTTCCTCACCCCACAGGCACATGACCAATGGAGCTGTTATAGCTCGCTGTAGTCAGCCAGAGGTCGGTTGGTTTGGTTGGCGAAGTCAAGAGGATGAGAGCCTTCTTCATGCCTTAGGAATAGCTTGTGCTACAGAGTCAGTGTCTGCTTCTTTAAAGAAGCAACTCATTAAAGAGATGGGTTTGAAGGATCATCACACAAATGGTCACACAGATGCCATTCCCAATGGGGATGTAGTCCATGATAGTAGTGATGATGATAATGATGGTGAGGGTAAAGATGTTGCAGCAAATGATGCCATTGGACAGCGCAAGGTTCTGATAATAGATGCCAGGGCCTATTCAGCCGCAGTGGTCAACAGGGCCAAGGGAGGAGGCTGTGAGTGTGAGGGTAAGTTTGATTTGATCAGCAATTCCCCCTCCTTGCTTCTTAGGATTTGCCTGTAGATTATTTAATAGAATTTAATCAAATCCAGGAATCACTCCCTAACTGATAACAGTGTATATTCTTATCACATGTTTGTTTATTAATATACCCACGCATTAATGAGAAGTTACCTGTCAATTACTTCAGGGAGTCAAAGGGTTTAAATCCCATTCACACTGACATGTAAATATGCATCGGCCAGGAGACCTTCTAGGGATACTTTTTGATGACAGTACACTGCACCAGAAATTATCTGTCAAATCATCTACATAATCAGATTTCATCATTGACTTGTTTTCAGTATAAAAGGTTATATTCTTGGTTAATGCATAACACATTGTGAAGAGCTAGAAAAAGCAAATTTAAACATATAAATAAATGCTAGTTAGCAGAAAGCAGGCTTGATTTATTTTAAGTTGGGTGATATATTTATTATTCACATCTTCTCATATTGACTATAATTTACCCTTTTTCTAATAGAGTACTACCCAGGTTGTGAAGTGTTGTTTATGAATTTGGCAAACATCCACAGTATAAGAAAGAGCTTCCATAGTCTAAGAATGTTATGCTCAGGTCCAAGAGAAAATCCCAAGTAAGTCATTAAACCCTTTATGCCCTGGCAGTAGCCTTCATATTCTCCACACTATTCCCATTACAACCCCTATGGTACTGAAAAAGATAATTTGATAAACAATCAGGAGCTTCTTCAATTTGTGATCATTTCCTCTCTTCTCATGACCTTACCTTTTGATTCAAGGGTGATATTGTAAGGAGAAATTAAAGAAATTAAATTATTTTCTTGTCATTTGTTAGCTGATATAGATGTTATAGTAAAATCTAACTGAAATATTTGCATTCTCTTTAGTTGGTGGTCCAGTGTGGAAAAGACACAGTGGCTCCACCACATTTCACTCTTGCTAAAGGCAACCAACACTGTTGTGAATGCTATTCACAAAGAGCAGAGACCTGTTGTGGTTCACTGCAGTGATGGCTGGGACAGGACCACTCAGATTGTTGCTCTGGCAGAGCTAATGTTGGACCCTTATTACAGGACAATTGAGGTAAAAAACATCAGGACAGAAACTCAATAAAATCTTTGAAAGGTTGAAATTATGAATTTAGTACCACTCAAGGTGAAAGTGAACCTAAAAAAGATGTCTTTAAATTCAGTTGGGAACTGCAATTAGAAAAAAATTGCTTTAACTGAAATTGTATAATATGAAAGTTCAAGTTTTGCTTGAGAGAGACTCCAAGCAGATTGAGATCCTTTAGAAATTCCCCTTACTTTTGGTGTAGATTGTGTTTGTTAAATTCAAGATGATGGTTTGTTTGCAGTAAACCTAATTTTAAAAGAGCAGGCATTCAGATTCCTAAAAACAGTGATTTCAATTTTTCTTATGCTTAGAACATGAGTATCTTAGGGTGAATATTGAACTCCACTTGTTAGCTCTTTTTTTAGAGCATTTCTAAAAGGTACAAAATCTGTAATAACCAAAAATAGAGAAGAAAATTGATTGTTTAACAGAAAGGCATGAGATTTTGCAGATTTAACTAACAATGTCTGTAACAGGCCTTGCCCAAAAAGATCTCACTTCAATTTTGCTTTTAACCCACTGTTAGAAACGACTTGTGATTGATATCTTAATTTTTCATTGGAGTGTCATTATCCTTCACCATGGTGATCTTTGCAAGGAGTATTCTTAGGCATGATCTTGTTTTCTTTCCTTGTAGGGCTTTCAGGTATTGGTGACACGTGAGTGGCTGGAGTTTGGCCATCGTTTTGCTGATAGGTGTGGCCATGGACACAATCTTGATGAGAACCAAAGATGCCCTGTGTTCCTTCAGTGGCTTGATTGTGTGCACCAACTCACTAGGCAGTTTCCTTGCTCATTTGAGTTTAATGAAACCTTTTTGGTAAGGTTAAATCTGGCAACTCCTAGTTATCTCAGTACTCTCCTTAGAACTGTACTCTGTACTCAAGTTTTCCAATGTTGCCATTGTGCAAACATGAAGAAAAACATTACAATTCGCTACATGATCGCTGAACACAGGTTGACAAATAGGTAATTCACACTGCAAATTAAAGCTAAAATCTTTTGCTATTCACATGGTGGTAACCCGATGGGTGGCATAATGAAGCACTTATAAGAATTTTTCCCTCTATTCAGCTGAGGTTAAACAGGTTATTCAAATAGCCAGCAAAACATATTCAATTCTTACTGAGTGGTCCTGAGATGTTTTTTAATGATCTTGCTGTGTTATTTTCCAAAATGAACAACTTTTTTCAGATCTTGGTGTAATTTCTGGCATGTTATCTGTTTTGACCCTCCCCCCCAAGATCTGATTGTTAATTCTCCCCTTTAGCTGCTACACATTTCCTTGTAAGTAGTTTGGTATTGGATGAAGATAACAACTTCGGCTTGATAAGTTTTGAGTATTCTCATTACCTGTTTGCTGGATGATGTGTAGATGTTTTAGGGAGAAGTTACATGTTAATCACTTCTGGGAGTTAAGCATTAAGAATATTTCCTTTATGTACCTTTTCTTCAGGTAAAGTTGGCCCACCATGTGTATTCCTGTTTATTTGGAACGTTCCTCTGCAACAGTGAAAATGAACGCCTTAAAGGAAATGTTCCCAGGAGAACATTCTCAGTTTGGTCTTTCCTAAAATTGAGACGAAAGGAGTTGAAGAACTACTTATACTCCTCTTTGTCTGAACAGGTAAAGTGTGGAATGAAAATTTTTTGTATGTGCCATGTACTTGACATGCTTTTCTACATGACTTGACACATATGTGAAAAATTTTTCACCAACTAAGTGATTTTCCAAGACCATCTTTCAGAAAAGTTTCAGAATTATTAAGTTTCTTTGCTACAGTGAAAGTTATACTCTATCTCTGTTTTGTTGTTGATTTATTTTGAGGCACATATGAGATTTGAAGCTGATTATGACTTATAATTCCGATCAATTAGATTCTTCAAGCTTCCCATGAACCTCGCAGCTTACAGTTGTGGTCAACTGTGTATACAGCACTCCCCACGCCTTATGCAGAGTCCTTTATGGAGAGTAACGACACCAGTGACTATGGGGACTCTGTGAGCAGTGCATGCGTCACCCCTGTTTCACCTGTTTTTCCCAATAGTATGGAGCAAGATGAAAGACTCTTAGCAACCACTCACATCTCTGAGTCAAAATCTGATGGAAGTCTAATATGTAAAGACTGTTTTGAAAATCAGGAAGGACTTCAAAATGATAGTAAAGAGTTTGGAGGTGTAGACAAAGCTGTCAAATCCAAGAGTTGTCACAACTGTAGGACAACCTTATCACAGAATCTTTCTGAGAGTAAATCAACAACAAAGGACATTAGTGACTCAGAGTCGTGTGATTCTAAAAGTATTTATCTTAGCACTACAGATTCATGTGCAGCTGGAGTTGTTTCATGTGAAGACTGTGTTAGTGAAATTGAAAGCAGCATGTCTAGTAGTACAGCTACAGTCATTCTTGAGCCAAATGATGAGGCTATCAGTGACAATGGAGAAAATTCCTTGTCAGAAAAACTTTTGGCTGGTGAGACCAATGAAGAAGTTTTCTCAGCTGGAGAAATAAATTCAGTGGATGATATGCAACCACAAGAATCTCATGAATCCAAGTGTATGATAGAGGACCATTCAAAATGTTCTGCAAATATTTCTTGCGATGAAGAGATAAAGGAATGTACAGAAAGTGGGCTTCCACCCTCCAGTTCATCTAGTCAGTCAACACTTACCAGCAGTGTTCAAGAAACAATACCAAGTACAACAACACTACGACCAAGTTCATCTGAGCTCTTTACAAGATATCTGGATGTAGATGGTTTGACACACATTGTTGATCCAGTCCAGGATAGGCTACGGCAGATTGAAATGGCTCATCAAGCTAAAATTGAGTCATTACAGAGAAAACTTTTGGATACGCAGAGCAGGCAGGCTGCTGTAGGAGAAAGAGGTACATGTCTGTCGGGACAGACTAGCGACCTTGCAGATGAAGTGGTATGTAGAGCCAAGAAATTACATTTTGAGCATTAACAATACTAAGTGCAATACCGGTAGATTCCTTTCACAATGGCGGGCATAATTGTTTCTCCTTTGAGTATATGCAAATAAGTCCTCTTGGCATCACTTTTGAAAGAAAATTCTGTCCCTTCTAAAAATGTTGTCGAAGGTAGAAAGACTAATTTAGTTGAATACATAATTAGATAATAGGAAAAAGGTGACAACCCTTCAACTTCCAGTTATTGCTAATACACGGAGTGAAGTGCTGCCGAATGAATGAGCCCCAGTTGAAATCTGGTTTATTTCTCAAACATTGTGCATATATGTTTGTTTGATAAATGATCTGTCTGACTCCTATGTTCCTCTAATTCACTTGCAGTGCTCTTTACCAGAGTCAAATGTTAGTGGGGACCAACCCCCTCTGTCCCTTGGCAGTGCTGATGAGGGAAGTTGGATCCAAGTGGATGAGAATGAGGCCCAGCCCACACTTTGGGTCCCAGATCATGCTGCTACCAGCTGTGCTAACTGTGATACACAGTTCTGGATGGCAAACAGAAAACATCATTGTAGGTATGTGTGGTAGTTATGGAGCTGTTGTCTTTGAATATGCATTTTGCAGCTGACTGTAGTTCAATGCATTTATGATTAATGCAGAGTTCTTTTTAAATGTATGGGAGCTGGTATGACCAGATGATGAGAGCACTCTTGTCTGACCAAAGTTAAAACTCAGTAAATAATACTGAGCTGTAGATAAGAATGAAAATAACACATTCATTTAGTCATTTGAATGTGAAAAGTGATGCAGGATTATATTGGTTCCTCTACCCCCTTAGGCAACAGGGCAGAGGAGGCCATAGCCCCCCCCCCCCCC